TTAGCATGCGTAACTAAATTTGGTACCAAAAATATAAAATATAAATGTAAATATTTTGGCCGATTTCATGTATGTTATACACTAAACACGATATATATGTCCGATTCCAATAAAATTCAAAATGCGTGGTGAACTTTGGTTACAATAATAAATTTGACAAATTAGTTAGAAATCGCTTAAGATTTGGATATGCTCCAACATATATATCCTCGGCCGATTTCACATATTTGATGCGCCAAACACGGTATGTACCTCCATTTTCAATAAATTTGAATTGAAACCAATAAATATTCGTATATACAATTTTGAATGCATATATAGCAAAGCGCACCGGTTCAGCTAGTATGTATATATATTTGCTGAAAATGAATATATACATTATGGGGTCTACGAATATTTAGAGGTGTTGCAAAAGGAATAGCAAATTTAATATATGCTTCATTCCAAGGTTGTATACATTACCTTTTAATATGATCTTCAGCTCACGCGGCACCCAAATGTCAGCTGGGCTAAACGACTACGGACTATGGACTAAAATGACTATTTCGAGGATATTATGGTGGAATGTATAAAAATGTGATATTTTTTATGTTATTCCTTTTATGTTTCATTCCATTGTTCCTTTTCTATATCATTGTAATAATTTTAAATGGGTGATTGTAAATCGAATCAAAATATATGGTTGACATCCACAACATTTTTTTGCCAATTGAATAAAAATGTGTTGATTACTCATTACATGAGTAGAAACAACGTCCACTTTTGTGGTTGGTATAAAGAATATGAATATTTACCTTCAGTTACAACCGAAACATGACGATATTAAAATTTGTATTTTCTATTAGAACTCAATCTCTTTTTGTAATTATAGACAGTCCTGTCTAGTACCAACACAAACACCACCTTCTCTTCCCACTCAACACAATATCGGATTACATTACATTCATTATGACCTGGCATCCACAAAAGTTCCTGTACTTGTAGTAATCACAGAATGAAAGTTTTCATATGAATTGTTAAGGTATTAATATTTTTTTTATTAACGAAGGCATGACTGCCGCCAGAGGAGGACAAAAGGGGCCTCAAGAAAGAGCAGTGCGAGTTTCAAAATAAGAAAACATGTATAATTTGTCTTTCTTGAAAAGTATATCAAAATAAATATGTCAGGAATAGAAAAGCAAACATGTAAAATTATATAATATGGTCATATTTCCATATGTTTTGTTAGTCGATTTAAAGATGTCCGCCGGTCTGTTGAAATCAAGATACAGCCCACATTATCTAACTCGTTGTATAGTGTTTAGGATGGTTGGTATTCAAAATCAGATATACTGAGTCACGTTTTGATATTGCTCCCATGTAACGGTACCTACCGATATTCATTATTTTGATGGTTGTAGCCACATTTTCCACGATTTGTCTAAAAATTGATATATGTAGCTTGTAATGGTTTATTCGTAAATTGTACCTAGTACCTTGGCATACTCGTTATTTTGCTGATTTATGCCGCCTTTTTTAAAGGATTTGTGTAAAATTTGGTATTTGTAGTTCATAATGGGTGTCAAAACATTGTCCACATTGGGTCATATCTGGTAACTGTACCAAACGATTTTCGGCTTTTTGAATATATGGTGGATATAGAAAATCCATTGCACATATATCTGTACATACAGATTATGACAAAGAACATTTTCATGTGGAAGCAAACAACCTTGGCAAAACGCAAAAAAATCTAGCACATCTTTACAAAAAAATCTAATTTTTGACAGTAAATATATGTTAATAATTTGATATTTATAAATGCAATGTATTTTTATTGTGTCGTATTTATTGTCCGCTTGAATATATTATGCACATTTTATTCGTTTGCACCTACCATATAAAGGTAACTCCCGATATCCGGTATTTTGATTATTTTGGCACAGTTTTTCATGGATTTGTCTAAAAATTGGTATTTGTTGCCCATAATGGGTTCAAGCTCCGGTGGCGAAACATCGCATGCATAGGTCCACCATTTCGTATGGCCCCCATATAACGGTACCTCCCGATATTCGGTATTTTTATGGGTTTTGCTACATTTTGTCACTGATTTGTCTGAAATTTGGTATTTGTGGGTCATAATAGGTCCTAGCTTGTGTGGCGAAACATTGTATGTATAGGTCCACGTTTTGGTAAAGTTCCCATATAACGGTACCTCCCGATACTCGGTATTTTAATGATTTTTGCCACATTTGTTTACGGATTTGTCTGAAAATTGGTACTTGTAGGTCATATTGGGTTCTAGCTCCGGTAGAGAAACCTTGCATGTATAGGTCCACGTTTTTGTATAGCCCCATATAGCCGTATTTCCCGATATTCGGTATTTTGATGATTTTTGGCACATTTTCCCATGAATATGTCTAAAATTTGTATTGGTGTGTCATAATGAGCTCTATGTTTCCTATACCCTAAGGTGGAGGGTATTAAAAGTTTGGCCCGGCCGAACTTAATGTTTTCTTACTTGTTTTTTTTTTTTTTTTTTGTACCAAATAGTGAAGGGTATTCAAAGTTCGACCCGGCCGAACTTACAGCTTTTTTACTTGTTCATGTCTAAAATTGCTTCAGCTGGAAGATGCGAACATATTTAAACAAACGAAAATGACCAACAAAGCTTAATGGGGCTCATTTCAAAACATGGACCTACTTCTTTCATATGACAATAATCCGTCCATTGCGAGCTCAAAATGCAAAATTCTTTGGGACTGCAATCAGTGAAATACGGAATATAAAGGGTGCAAAATAGTAGAGCGACTTGGACATTTGTAAGAAAAGGATTTATATCCTTCCAGAGACCTTAAATCGCTTTTGCAGGTCATGATATAGGCCATAACTCGGGGATAAGGGTACAACCCTATACCAAGCATATTTTACATTTTAACAATATTTATATAACCATTGTATAATTTAAGCTATTTAATTTGCCATCTTTGTTTCTAAGGAGGTAGTAAACCTCCTCACATAAAATTTGGAAATTTCGGAGTAGAGCCCATCTTGGTCTGGACCACATATATCAATTGATTTGGCTAACAGATTATATTTAGGCTACTCTCGGGTAGAGAAACATCTTAAAGATAATTGTCCACATGGGTATTTAGTTAAGTATAGTCCCCACATTCGTGTACCCCCAAGTTCACTTTCACAACCACTTTCACAAACCCCCAAGAGAATATTGGTCGGGAACATACATTTGTGATGTGCGGCTATATGAAATATATATATAATATATATACATGTAAGATGTATCTGATTTGGTGTTAAAGTCTCTCACATGCGTAGTATGTAATATGCATAATGTGCACTCCACAACAATGCCATCTGATACCGGGCATCAGATATTGCTCGAATTAGTAATATCAGCCCAAATTGAATAAATTTTTAATACTCAACCGAATTTTGCCATTTGATGATACTCGTCCGGTACATCTATTGCTCCAATAAATATTTTTTATTATTATTATTTAAACATAATACTTATCGAAGTCATGTCATGCACTATACAGCAATGGTATTTGGTTCATAATTGATATGATAAATTCAATTTTATTTTTTTTACGGGAGCTCTACTAAATACTCATATTGGTGAAGGGTATCATATAGTCGGCCCCGACCGAATTTTAACTGTTACTTACTGGTTAAATTATGCTACAATAATTGATTGAAAATAATCATCTGAACGGAAGGTATTCATATCTTTTTTGCTACCCGAGCATAGGGAAAATTTAAAAAGGAAAGACGTTCATTGCCTTAATAATTAATTAATTAAGGCCTGAAATTGTCAGTCCCTGTATACCTATTCGTCTACTAACGTTTCGTTGTCATTTATGACACAAGCAAACTTTTGAAATACCTATTCACACAAATTCTAGTGGGGTGCACAAATTCTTATTTCTGGAATGGGAAACAAAAAAACCAGTCAAGTTATTCGAATTGTCTACCGGGATACTGTCTGTAATTGTCACTCCATTCTTAAGAGCTTGTAAGGATTCCTGACAATGTAATATCCTTTTATAATTCTTTGTTTTGTCATTTCTATTTTCTTGCCTTTTCGACAAGTTGACCCCAGATATTCAAACACCACAATCGAATGTTCGCCGACTGCTGGTCCCTCTCCAATTCATGGGGTTTGCAGCAAACACACACACGCACATATTCAATTGAGTTTGTTTCGGAATTCCCTGTTGCTTATAAAGGATTGTGGTTGGATTATGTGTGAATTATTTGTTAAGATCGTGTGTTTTACTAAATCTGATTAGGACGTGTCATTTATATAAACCTACACACATACATGTACAGAGGTGTATAACCCTGCAGCGAGCAGCTTTAGTAAAATTGTAGTGTTTTACTGGTGACATTGTCGCTAGTACTAGTGAAAAAGTATACCACAACCAATGTAATTTCCTATGGACATTTAACATAGGCTTGTCATAGGAGAAGTACCAGTAGACCTTGACTATATTGACTAAGTAGTTCTTTTGGGACTATATGGTGACATTTGAACCAAATAGTCACTAGAAAAAGATTATATCTTTTGAGATTATGTGATGACGTGTATACCAAATAATCACTACATTATATTGGGTTTCCTGAGCTATATGTAGACATTTGAACCAAATAATCACTAGAAAAAGATTAGATCTTTTAAGTTTATATGGTGACGTTTGAACCAAATAATCACTGCATTTTATTGGGTATCCTGAGCTATATGTAGACATTTGAACCAAATAAACACTAGAAGACCATTAGTCCTTTCGAGATCATATGGAGGCATTCGAACCAAATAGTCATTTGAGATTTTTAGGAAAATGCTTGTAATAGAATAAGTATTTAACAACGTTACATTTTTAACGCAGTTATTAAGTAACAAAAACAAAAGTAAAGCACAGTTCAATCTACACACAATATATTTAATTAATCTAAAACAGTCTGCGAATTTTAGGCAAGGTAATAAATTAAGAAATGGATTACATATATAGCTCACTTTTTTCAAGGCTGGCCAAACCTTGTCTTATTTTTAATAAAACTGAATAGTGTTAGAACTAGGATTTTAAAATTATATAGTATAACATAAAAACATTCAGTTAAATTTGTGGTTCTTCATCATTTTCATCTTGTTCCTTTTCTTCGGTGCGCCTGCTTCGTTTGTTGATCTTAAAATACTTTTTCTTTTGGCGTTGGAACGCTGCTCGTAAAGTCTTGTCAGGTAATTTATTAAATGTTGATATAACTTCTGTTTTATAAACTATATTTTAGCATTACTTATTTGAAACAAAAACAAACACGTTTTACCTATTATGGCGGCAAGTACATTACCAAAATCTCGTAGACCTTTTTTCCCGAAAGTTCCGTCAACATTAAAATCCATAATAATATTTCTTCCAAATACTTTATGCAAATTACGTTCAGCGTTACCTGCAATGAGATTTTTCATTTGTCGAGTCTGCAATTGTAAAAATTGTTTTAGTTATGAATTTGTTATTCCCAAAACGCAGATACGTACATATAGATCTGCTTGTGTTGCGAGAATTCGATCAAATTCTCGAAGTTTTTCTTCCGATTCAATTGGAAAAATTGTCATAATATTGTCCACAAATGCGTTCTGAGAAATAACACGATCCAGTAAAACTTTATGCTCCGCCAAAATATCAATAATCGTGTCTAGTTTTCTGGCATTTTCTTGGCAGGAAGAACATTTTGCATTAGCTATCAAAAATATGAACTCAATTTTGTTATACTGTTAAAAATTTAGTGATAATCTTTGGAGATTACCTTGTGGAGCAAAATATTTCATTTTTCCTTTGGAAGGGTTGGCATTTTCGTTCGACATGTTTATGTGCGGGAGTTGTGTACTTAGGAGGTAAAAATTTGTGCTTGATATTTCTCTGGAAAGCAGGAATGTAAAATGGGCACGATTACAAAATCAGAATCAATTGGCAAGCATACAAATTTGAACTGAATGTCTTTAATACAAAATGTCTCTTTTTCCCCTAGAGTCAGATTCGTTTTGAAAATACCAATCTCACAAGAATTCACCGGTTCTTCGTAGAAACTTTCTAATGCCAAAATTCGACTGCCTTCAATATATATTTCGCCCTTTTTCTTTATATTATCAATTTTTATTGGAATGCATGAATTCACCGCGCAAATATTATCTGGTTCTTTGCAGGATATGTAGCAATCATTTACAAAAGCTCCAACGATAACACCTTTTTCATATTTTAACCCATCCTGAATAGTGTTGACAATCATGCAATTTTTTTCCTTTTGAATAATTTGTTGAAAGATATGTGATGGTTTTCGAACATGTTTTTTCAGTGTTTGCAGTTTATTTTCAAATGCATATGCAGAAAACGAAATAAGGGGACCATACTTTTCTGCGCAAGAAGCCAAATGAAGCAGATTATGAACGTTAAAAGAAATGCTGTTCGAACCAAATACAGTTGAGAAGTTCTCGACAAATAATTGAAGCAAATTATTAGCTTGAACAATATTTTGATCCATATGTCGTGCATTGTTAAGAAGTCGATAAGCACAATGTAAAGTTAAAAATTCATAATAAATATCTTCGTGTACATTATTATAAAGAGCAATAATTCCTGTATAAGCAAGGAACTGGTGAAATTCAGTCGCTTTCCAATGACAAAGATCATCTAAAGGCCTGGGTTTTCTTGGGAATTCCCTTGGAATGTATTTTTTAAATTTCACCAATTCAGAAGATATTTTTGAAATATTTTGTTTTGAGGTTTTCTTTTCAGTTTTATTATGCATTATTCTGGTTAGCATTTTTTTGGTGACTCCGAGGTCAATGAGATGCATGCTATCTAAAGGAGTCTGATTTATCATACCAAATCCAATTTCTTCGAGAGGAGTTTTTTCTTCTTTGAACATTTGGGAATGGTGGCATGGATACTTTCGCACAGCAAAGTCCTCATCGGAGATTAGGGAACCACTCTCGCTACTATAAGTCAAGACATTGTTTACCTTCTTCGCAATTTGAGTACACTTGGTGCAGCCATGTGTTGATGTATGTCCAGGAACTCCACAAACGAAAGCTTTTGCTGGTGCGTCACATATTAAGCAACGAAACTTCAATTTTAAATGTTTTTGTTGTATGATAAACTGACCTTTTAGTAGAATCACTTCATCAATGAAGTCTTTCAAATACACATTCACACTACCCGGCTTGGTGTTTCCCAAGTATAATCCAACAACAAACGGTTTTGTTTTCTCCTGAATATTAACGATTCTGCAAAGGATTGGCCACAATTGCACACGAGAGCTTTTGAACAGTGGAATTCCATCGATATTTATATCTAGTTCGACTTCCTCATACTTTTCCAAAATGTGACCAACTTTTCGTAGTTGTGTTTCTATGCCAATATGACAATAAATTCCAGGGGCAACATTTCTCGTTAACATATTTTTTGCTCTGCCCACCAAAGTCTCTCTAGTGAGCGGAACATCTAGACCTTCTTCCTTTAATATTGATAAAAGACTTTCCAAACATTTCTTTGAAGGATTCGTTTCCATGCACCACTTTTTAAGTTTGTCCCGCAACATTAATTTCGGAACTGCAAAATCTTCCATTCCATTTTCCACGAAATCATTTATAAAATCTCCACCGTTTGACACAAATTCACTTTCACTATTTTCTTGTTCACATTGCAAACTTCTGTTTTTATACAATATTTTTTGTTTTTTAATTAATCTTTTATAATTTCTTTTACTCATTTTGTTTATATATTTAATAAATAATCACCTTTTTAACAATAAAACACACAAAACAAATTAATTGCCGATAAAAACGCGTTGTTTCGATGCGATCTACAAAAAAATTACATAAAAATGTGTATATATTCAATATGTTTTAATGACAATAAAAGAAAAGCCAACTGTCGACATTGTCAGTAGAAATACACTACAATCAGTGTCCCAAACCAAACTCTACTCGTAAATTGTTGAAATTTGAACTAGTACAATTGTCTGTAGAAATAAAGTGGTAATATAAGATACATGGTTCTTTGCTCGCAGCAGGGAACCGTTTGTGCGTCTAGGTATGTGTTTTGTTTCGCAATTGATTTTGTTGTTATTAAAATCGATTTGTGTTATTTTTATTTATTTAATTTCGTTCTTTCAATGGCATTTCGAAGCCATACAAGTCTACGTCGAACAAAGTATTCAGTCGCTGTCGCATTAGTTTTATACAAATATTGGTTTTCAATTTTGTTTTATAAAATATTAACAACAATGTCAATGGTGTGTGCGAGTATCCAACACCTGTATCGATTAATGCCCACAACGAACTGGAACTAGCCTAATTGGCATGAGGTGCCCATTAAAACCATAACCATATTGTTAGCTTCAGTTATGAAACTATTGAATCAATTTCTTTTACAGGAATTCCACTATTGAGCTAAGTGTTTGAAAATTGAATATTGTATCTTTCATCTTTTAGAATCACAAATTTAGGAAATATATGAGATTACATACGTTTTGTAGGTTTATCTTTCATTTATGATAAAAAATTATTTGGAGGAATAAAAATTACTTGCCTCCTATTGATTATAATAATGTAATGCAAATATTCGATAATGTTGTCAACGTTGTGTACTCACCTTACGCATAAGCTGTATCTTGCACGCATCTTGTGGAGGGTACATATTTTTAAGCAGTTCTGTTTATATTTCCATTGATTTGTATACCATACAATAAAGGGTGAGATAAAAAATGCAACAAAGACAAACGCCAAAATTTTTCCATTTTTTTTTTGAATGAACGCAAAAAACGTCGGAAATAGCGTCGAATTTTAGAATAAGTTTATATTTGTTCGAATTTGTCACTTTTGGCACGAATTATGGTCTTCAAACGGTCAATGAAACCGTCACACGCTGCCCGAATGTTGCTCTGAGGTATTTTGGCCCGTTCCCGACGAAGCGCTTGCTTGAGGTGATCGACACTTTGGTATTTTTTAGTGCGAACCTTGCTTTCCAAAATACTCCAGACAGAATAGTCCAATGGATTGGTATCCGGAGATTTTTCTGGCCATTATGCGCTGGAAATGAAGCGAGGAACCTCATTTCGTAACCATTCTTGGGTGGCGCGTTCTGAGTGCCATGCTGCTGAGTTCTGTTGGAATGACCAAGGTCTGCGGTCAAAATGATTGCGTGCCCAAGGCTTTAATACACCCTCCAGAATATTTTCGTGATAATATTCAGCATTTATTCTGATGCCACGGTCGATTAATTCGAGCGGAGAGCGATCATCGGCTGTTATGGCGGCCCACACCATCACCATGGCCGGCGATTGAGTTCTGGTGGCCAACCGAAGGTGCACATTTTCAGCTGACCTCTTTGCCAAGTAAACACGATCATTTTGTTTGCTGAACAACAAATGTTTTCTCATCGGAGAAAACCAAATTCGGCCAAGCGAAGCAACTCTTTAGCTTTTTTGAGTCTATTTTCTTTCTGTTGCGGTGTAAGTTCTTGCACTTTTTGGAATTTCAATGGCTTTACCCCGAGCTCATTTTTCAATATTTGTGGAATGGAATATTGCAAAATGTTCAGCTGGTTTCGATCAAGTCACTTCTTTACTTTTCGAACCATTTCTGCTGATGTTGCTGTGATCATCGGCTGTTATGGCGGCCCACACCATCACCATGGCCGGCGCTTGACTTCTGGTGGCCAACCGAAGGTGCCCATTTTCAGCTGACCTCTTTGACAAGTAAACACGATCATTTTGTTTGCTGGACAACAAATGTTTTCTCATCGGAGAAAACCAAATTCGGCCAAGCGAAGCAACTCTTTAGCTCTTTTGAGTCTATTATCTTTCTGTTGAGCTGTAAGTTCTTGCACTTTTTGGAATTTCAATGGCTTTACCCCGAGCTCATTTTTCAATATTTGTGGAATGGAATATTGTAAAATGTTCAGCTCACGAGCCATTTTTCGGCCACTGCGACACGGGTTTCGATTAAGTCGATTCTTTACTTTTCGAACCATTTCTGCTGATGTTGCTGTTTTCTTCCGTCCACTTCCTCGACGTCTGGCTACGCTACCAGTATCGATGGTACGAGACACAAAAGATTTATTCAATTGTAACGATAGCCACTAGTGGTTTTGCAGCTAAATTTAAGAAATCACACTATCACGCTTGAATTGCATCACGAATAACTTTTTTTCTGGAAAACTCGCACCAAAATGCTTTTGTACGCTTGTAAACAATATAGTAACCTGTCACTGGAATAATTTTAACAGCTGTCAGACGAATGGCTTAGAAATTACAGCATTCCGAAGTTGGTTGCAGTTTTTTCATCTCACCCTGTATATTTGGAGGAATGTAAATGACTTTCTTCCTATTGATTATAACAATAAACGGCAAATATTTGAAAAATGCTGTATCTTGCATGCATCTTGTGAAGGGTATGTCAATCTTCATATCTCGACGAGATGAAACTGTCACCAAAGGTCGGTGTCCAACCAGAATAGACGACTATCGTTTTTGTTGATGACCAAATACAAGATTTTAGTCCGATAGGCGAATAATTTCAATTAGGACAAATAAGACAACTACCATTTTGTATGATGATCGACAAGTATTTAGAGGGTGAAATGGGCTAAAACTTTTATGTAAATCAATCAACATTTCCTCATTTTGCTCCATATCATTATTTCGGCTGCACAAATGTTGGCGTAGCAACATCTCCCGAACCCATGATCTATCCATTGATGTCAATTAATCCGACAGACTTCCTCAGATATCCGATATTTTCTACGGGATAGCCGAATTGTGAATTAAGAATATGTACCATTTAACGCTTTAAAATTTATGATGTCTCTTTTCAGACACTTAGAATATTTTATTGAATTTGTAATTTATTTAGCATTTTAAGCTTCCGAAACCAATATACACTTATACCACATCGTATTTAAAAGAAATTTGAAATACGCTTCGGTTGTATCTAAAAGATTTTATTTTATTCAGACAAATAATAAAAATTTAGAAAATAAAAATGAAAGTTTGACTGTTTCAATATTTTTGTGTCTCACTCGGTGTATTTTCGTCGGAACAAATATTTCATTCGTACAAAGATAAATATCATTGGAAATGTGATGGATTCGTATTTAGATCTTCAGTAAAACAAAAAACATAACAGAACGCTTTGATTAATTAATCCACACAGAAGATGACATATTTTTTTATATTTTTCGTGGGCAAAAACGATAAGTTGTTGTTGTCTCCTAGTAAAAAATCTTTGTGATACAAATTCATCATGAGAACGCATTTCTGCTTCAGACACACATACACATAGTGTGGAATAATCAATTTATAACAAATGTCCGGCCACGAAAATACATACACACATACAGACATGTGTACGGGAACGTGCACAGCATTTCGTTTCGTGGGGCCCACTGGGGCCCAACTCATATAAGAAAAGTCTTTTAAGAAATACAAATTCAAACGATTGTAAAATTGGTCTTTTTTAATCAATTACTTGGTTTTATCCAAAATATTCGACTCTTACGCGAACTATTTAAAAGAGAGTTCGCGTGCGAATCGATTATTTCGCTGTCATATAGAAAGTAGTTTGTGAACTAGTTTAGCTCATTTGTGCTAAAGCTCCTTTCCATTTGGTTATTATTAATTTAGATGAAATGTTTTGAATGATGTCTTCAAAACAAAAGACTTGGCAAGATACTTGTGTATCTTGCATTTTTCAATATGTTCAATAAATGTGGCGCTTAAACAGGGACAAAAATTCATAAAAGTGCTGCCGACAATTGCAAATATTTGAAGATTCTGTTTAGAGAAAAGGTGAAAGATATGGGTATCCTAAAAAAATTGTAACAACAAAATAAAATGATTTCAATTTTGAACATAAAGATAGGACCCTTTCTTTGCGGTTTTATTTTACAAAAATGTAAGTATTTTCAAAAAGTTTCAATATTTGTATACCTTCAAACAAATGGCTACAGAGGAACGAAATCCTTTTGAAGACATTTGGAGACGATAACTCTCGAAGGGAATATCCAATGACGTGCAAACGTGGTACATCAAGTTCTGAGATTAGCAAAATCGTCCCCCACCCCCTGGTACTTCTGCCACAAAAAATCATGATTTTTACCGAAAATAATTTTCCTCATAGACAGAGGTCATTCATCTTGTAACAAATTATATATATTATTGCAAGAAATGTTGATAAAACAAGAGGAGCTCGAGAATATTTTGTACCAATTTTTTGTGGTATACATTTATATATGAGACTGTAAGTATTTTCATTGATTTTTTTTCAAAGGGGCCAAAATAAACAAGAAAATAATAAATGGTTATTTCTTTTATTTATTTGCGTCGGTGCTGAGACGAATTTTTATACCCTACACCACATAGTGGTAAGGGTATTATGTCTTTGTGCATTTGTTTGTAACATGGAGAAGGAAGGAAGAAAGATCGTAATAGAATCGCTTTCTGAGTCGATTTATGCATGTCAGTCAGTCTGTCCGTTCGTCCTTCCATCCGCACGTCTGTCTGTCCATGTATTCTTGTGAACAAGTCGCATGTATTATCCGATTGAGATGAAATTTTCCAAACAATATTTGTTTGGTCCAAGAACAAACCTTATTGAAATTGGTGATAATCGGATCAGATTAAAATATAGCTCATATATATATCTTCAAGCGATTTCGGATTGATTGTGCACCAAATGGCTAATATCAGTCCAAATTACCTGAATTTGGCATATCCGACCGAATTCAGTCTAAAAGCAAGTACATTAAATTTGGAGAAAATCGGTTCAAATATAGCTATAGCCCCCGTATATATGTTTCATCCGATTTGGGGTTTAAAGTCCCTCACAAGCATAATATGCATTTGGTATCAGATATCATATAGAGCTCAGAAATGCCTTCCCCAAATTTTATCGAGATCCGATTTCAGGTTTATTGTGCAAATAATGGCTTACATCGGTCGAAATGAAGTGCATTTCGGGTCGTACGTTTCCATTTTGTGGAACTCGGCACCGATATATATTTATACCCT